CACATAAATATACAAAAAAATTTCTCCCCAAAAGTTCCCCCCCCCCTCTGGGCTGGGAAGGAGGAAGTCAATGTAACGGCTTTCCAGGCTCACCTTCATACAAATGCTAATAGAGCTAGCTAAGGACAATGGGAGGATCCAGCTTCCCCCCTCCCCTCTTCAAGCAGGGAACAGATACTGGGAGGACACCAGGCTAGAACAGTCCAAGGCATAATCTCTAGGAAGGAAGGGGCTGGAGGAAACACTTCTCTGGTGTAATGGTTAAGAGTAGAATGCAGGGCTATTTTTGGGCAGGAGCGCACAGGAACGGAGTTCCGGATGGCTCCTGAGTTGGCCACGCCCAGCAGGAACTCATTAGCATAATAGGCCACACCCAACAGCAGAAACTCATTTAGGATTGGCTTCATTAGGGTGTGCGTGGCCTAACATGCAAAGAAGTTCCTGCTACAAAAAAAAAAGCCCAGGGTTTTGACAACAAAGTAAACAGAATAAGAAGCAAAAGGTGGGTGTGGCTGGACGACCATGATTCTGGTAACATGGGGGTGTGGCCTAATATACTAATGAGCTGTGCTGTCAGGGGTGTGGCCTATTATGCTAATGAGTTTCTGCTCGTAGAATGTAATCCACTTCTTCCCAGCTATACCAGTAGGAAGCAGATGTAGCATGCAACGCAGATATTACAGGTATGAAGCACATTGCTGCTGAAATTACTGCTGAAGAATGCTGTTTGGGAGTGCAGGTGTGAATGCCCCGCTATGGCCAACCAACCAGATTTGCCAACCAGCCTGATCCTCTGCTGCCCTCATGTGGACACATTCAGTATTGCAGATTACCATTGACCCCGTATTACTCTGCAGAGTGTATTGTGTTGTGTTCTACTGTATTGTATTGTTAATTCATTTATATACACTTTTCTCCCCAAAGGGAACCTAGACCAGCTCACACCACCCTGTCAAGTAGGTTAGGCTGCAAGTGTAGGACTAGTTCAAGGTCACCCACTGAGCTATCACCACCAATAATAATAATAATTTAATTTATACCCCACCCTATCCCACAAGTGGCAGAGGGAGGATTTGAACCTGGGTCTCGCCGATCCTAGTCCCACACTCTAACCACTATGCCTCTATGGCTCATCATCTGGGCCCTCAAGATGAATTCAGACATCAGAATCAGAGCTCCTTTGGACAGCAGTGTCTGCATGTCTGCACCATCAAGGTGAAAACAACTTAGCAGGATAAAGGGTCCCATTTCCCACTGCAGGAAAGTTGAAAGGAGTTGTCATATCCATCTCCCTCTGAAAAGACACCCAATCCCAACTCAGGTCTACAATGAATGCAAACGCCCTGTGCACTAGCCTGAAGACGTCTCCCAACAATGTAAAACACAGAAGCCAACTAGCAGGAAACTGGAGAGGGGTGGCATGTACGGACATGGAGGTGCTCCCAAAATTGTCTCCCTCCGATGCTCACTCATAAGAACATAAGAGAAGCCAGTGTTGGATAAGGCCAAAGGCCCATCCAGCCCAACACTCTGTGTCACACAGTGGCCAAAAATACCAGGTGCCTCAGGAGGTCCAGCAGTGGGGCCAGGTCAATAGAAGCCTTCCCACTGCTCACCCCCCCCCCCAGCACCAAAAATACAGAGCATCACTTGCCCCGGAGTCCCTATCTATACCTTGTGGCTAATAGCCACCGATGGACCTCTGCTCCATATGCTTATCTAATTCCCTCTTGAAGCTGTCCATGCTTGTAGCTGCCACCACCTCCTGTGGCAGTGAATTCCCTGTGTTAATCACTCTTTGGGTGAAGAAGGACTTCCTTTTATCTGTTCTAACCCGACCGCTCAGCAGAGTTCTTGTATTGTGAGAAAGAGAGAAAAGTACTTCTTTCTTGACCTGCTCTATCCCATGCATAATCTTATAAACCTCAATCATGTCACCCCTCAGCCGTCGTTTCTCTTTGGTTCCAGGGGTCTGTGAGAGACTAATCCCCTGGGAACTTTCCAGAATGTTTAAAAGGTAAATGTTTCCCTTACTCAAAAGCTAGTCGAATCCGACTCTAGGGGGCAGTGCTCATCTCCATTTCCAAGCTGAAGAGCCAACACTGTACGAAGACCACTCCATGGTCATGTGGCCAGCATGACTAAATGCCAATGCGCACGGAGTGCTGTTACCTCCCCACTGAAGCGGTACCTATTTATCTACTTGCAATTTCTTGCTTTTGAACTGCTAGGTTGGCAGGAGCTGGGGCCAGCCCTCCTAAAAAAAATGTAATTTTTTTTTTTAAAAATTATCATTCTCCTTACTGAGAAGGCAGTGCGTGCTTGCCACGATTTCAAACCACACGTTAAATAGCAGTCACAGTTCTCAGGTCTGCTGGCTGCAGTTTCCCTTTACGAATTCCATGCGAGTGCCCCCACATCCACACCGACTAAATTGGCTAGGTTCCTTCTTACTCCTCTGCTGCCACTTTGTGGACATATTTGGCATACCAGGAGGTCAAAATCAACATAGATTTTGCGATTCCTGATCAATTTATGGATAGAACAAAGTGCGTCCAGCGGCACCTTTAAGACTAGCTTTCGTGTGCACTTCTTCAAATATCTGCATTCGAAGTTTATACCTTGAATAAAACTTTGTTGGTCTTCAGAACAACATGGCTACCCACCTGAATTTGTGGGTAACTCATCCGTCCATGTTTATTTTTCTATTGGAATGATAAAGTTCAGGATAAGATTGTACCTTATGTGAATCTGGGCAAGATGTAAATTATAAAAGTTTCTATAAAGCAGGGGTACGGGAGGCTGTTTAGTTATTTGTACTGTGCTATAGGTATTATATATATAGGAGCCGCGGTGGCTCAAGTGGTTAAGCCGCTGAACTGCAGGCTGTGGAAGGTCAGTAGTTCAGCAGTTCGAGACCCGGGTGCCGCAAGACGGAGTGAGCTCCCGTCTCTAGTTCCAGCTCCTGCCAACCTAGCACTTCGAAAGCAAGAAATTGCAAGTAGATAAATAGGTACCACTTCGGTGGGAAGGGAACAGCGTTCCGTGCGCCTTGGTGTTTAGTCATGCCGGCCACATGACCACGGAAACATATTCGGACAGCGCTGACTCTTCGGCTTGAAAACGGAGATGAGCACCGCAACCCTAGAGTCGGACTCGACTGGCTTTCGAGCAAGGGAACCTTTACCTTTTTATAGGTATTATATTGAACTGGATGGAATTATAGTCAGCTTTAAAATGTAGCCTTGCATTGGTACTTTTTGAAATTATTAGTCACATAATCACTTTGTGGGGGAATGTCAAAGTAGATTTCTTTGCCCCAGGGACTGAAGGCCTTCGTCCAGCAACTATTTTCACCACACTGGGTCATTCCAGTTTTCCCCCTTCTGGATATTACGGGGCTGGGTCTCACTTAAAAACTTGCAAAAAAAAGTGCGCTTTCTCCGGCTGCATCTTCAACAGCTACACTGGCCATTTCCTAGAATGGCAGGGGGAACTCAATTCCACTTCCCTGTTAATCCAGGGGTCATTTGGGGGGGGACGCCATCCCCCCGGGTGAGGTGCGGGAGGGCGGGGCCTGGAGCTCCCTGCTGGTGCCCGCTGGAGGTCGCCGCCGGCTGTGGGGAGGACAAACTTCCGGTGATGTCAGGGGGTGTGGCATATGCTAATGAGTTATGCTAATGAGTCCCCCTAGCTCTTTTTCTACGAAATGACCCCTGTGTTAATCCATCAGGGGAAGATATCCTCCTCCCAAATACATTTGTTTTTGGACCTTCACATTATGACAGCTCCGGAACTAGAACGAGAGGAGGATTCTTCCCAAGTTGCCATCTGGTGAGGAGCATAGGGGGGAAGCAGAATTCTTCCCTCTGATCCCCATCCTGCACCCTCTCCGAGCACACTTGTGAACAAAAAGCCTGAGGGCGTGGGGAGGACAGACTGCTCCCCTGCACGAGAGGTAGAATACCACAAGCCAAGACAGCTCGGGCCCACCACCAACACCACACACAGCCAACAGCACCTCCTTCGGGTCCGAAGCCAACTTCTTGAGCTCCTCGCTGCCTTCAGGCTCAGGTTCAGTAAGCTGAGAAGAACCCACAACCAGGGGTCATTTCCTGCAGGAGCGCACAGGAGTGGAGCTCCAGCAGTAAGGAGCTCAGGGGGCGGGCACAGGCAACAAGCCCCGCCCCCTGCTCCCAGCAGCCCTCAGTCAGGCCATGAGGAGCAAGAAGCAGCCAGGTAAGTTGCAGAGCACCTTCCGCCGCCCCCGCTGACAGACCACCCCCCCG